CAACACCAGCTGGATCTCATTATCAATTCTCTCTCTCTCTCTCTTTTGGCACCAGCTGGATCTCATTATCAATTCTCTCTCTCTCACTCTCTTTTGGCACCAGCTGGATCTCATTATCAATTCTCTCTCTCTCTCTCTCAGCACCAGCTGGATCTCATTATCAATTCTCTCTCTCAGCACCAGCTGATCACTTCTGGCACCAGCTGGATCTCATTATCAATTCTCTCTCTCTTTTGGCACCAGCTGGATCTCATTATCAATTCTCTCTCTCTCTTTTGGCACCAGCTGGATCTCATTATCAATTCTCTCTCTCTCTCTGACCAGCTGGATCTCATTATCAATCTCTCTCTCTCAGCACCAGCTGGATCTCATTATCAATTCTCTCTCTCTCTCAGCACCAGCTGGATCTCATTATCAATTCTATCTCTCTCTCTCTCTCGTTTGCCCAAAGTACCAATCAAAATCAAGTTGATGAGCCCAGCGGGAATTAATAGGGGTCGGGAGGGCACTAACTAAATCCTAACACAAGCTGTGGCATTCAGATTATCTTCATTCTGCAGACATTCAGGCATTGTGAGAGACTCGTACATATTCCAAGTTATGTATTTCTTATTGTGTATGTTATTTTGGATTTATCGATCAGTTCCTTTTTATGTAATCCTAATACAAATATTTCCCATTCAGGTGTTACTACTTTGTCATGTATGACTTGGTACATGATCAGTGTTTCCCATTCCAGGTACAAGAGTTATTAGAGGGAGCAACAAGCCATGCTAGGCGGACAACAGCAGCTAGGAAAGACCACAGGACGACAAGGCTTCTCTCGGCTCTCATCTGGTAAGGGAGGAGCCATAATGATACCTTTACAGTGGACCTTAGCACCTTCTCCCCTGCCACTCCCCCACATTCTCGCTTGCACTGTTCTTCCTGGTCTCCGTTGGTAACATGATAGAGATACCGCTGTTCTGAAGGGACAAAGTGACCAGTGATAAAGGGGAAGGAGGCTGAGGGACTGAGGATGATGCGAAAGAGGACGTGCGAGAATAAAGGAGCAAAGAATAAATGGGTGAAGGATTAAGGGACAGAAGATACCTCTCTCTTCTTTTTTTTTTCTCTCTTTTACGGTTTTTCTCTCCCTTTGTCACTCTCCATTTGATCTAATTTCTCTATGCCTTTACTTTATTTACAGAATTTTCTGCTTCAGCATCGAAGGTCATTAACGGCGTATTGTAAAATTTATCAATATGATGAGGCTTATACATGACTATGAAATATTGTGGTGAAAATTGGTAAAAATGAGAACGATTAGGACAAAATATGTTAGATCTCAGATTTTCTTGAGCGCTGTTGGTTAGTACGCTACTGAAAAGGGTAAAGAGGGAAGAGCAGAGTACGAAGACCGTTCAGGACTGACACACCCTTTCCGCAAGGCGCTCTCACTTGAAGATGTGGATAGAAGGGGATAAAGAGGAAGAGGGAATAGAGAAGACAATGCAAAATTAGTTTGGACGAGGGCTGAAATTCAATGTGGTCATCTACATTGGGCCTTTGTTGTCCTGCACATTTATTTTAAGCACAAAGTTTGTAAATATGCCCATTAAATTTATCTTCAGACTTTTACATTCCCATTACATCTAAGGTTGTGTACTATGCCTTTTATTTTCCAAGTTGATGTGTAAGTTTATGCATTTTGTATTTTTCTTAGTTTACTTTGTTGTGATCAGTTTTGCATTATTTTTTAAATTTACATTTTACCGAATTTCTAACCCTTTTGATAACTTGTTTCTCTTTTTATTATTTTTATTCTAAGATCTCTTGTTTTCTCCTGTTTAGTATACAGAGAACCCTTATGATGATGGCCTTTTTATCTCCACAGGTCCGGCCGATGCAAGGGGATGATAACAGCGGCCCCAGCCTTAAATTGATGATTTGTGACTTTCCACAGGTCTCAAGGTCTCGCCTAATCCCGTCTATAGGAGACAAATTACAGCTGGAGTTGAAGAGGGTGATGAAAAGCAGGTAGAAAGGTTAATGGTTAAGGGTTAAAAAGCAAAATAAATGTGCTAGATGTCAAAGGTCATATAGCACTAAAGAACGGTACAGTAAAATGTGGTAACGAGTGATAGTTACTATGCTTCAGTTATCTAGAAAAATATTGAAAGGTCAAAGATGGCTAAAGGAGTTGATGTGTGAATGGGCTATGGTGGGTCTCGGTAAGGGAATTACACAAGGGATTCGCATATGTATCCAGCAGGAAGTGGAAGGGTTAGAGGGGATGGAGGGAGGGATAAGGTACGTGTAGAAGACGAAGCAGATGAGGGTAAGGAACCTCGGTAGCTGTTACTGGATGTCCTGAAGATGTGAGTGAGAATGGTTATACCTGCACCTGAGGAAGCTTGCCTGAGAAAAGTACCTGAGACAGAGGATGGGGCTCACAAGGATGCGACGCTGCCATCTTACGTATTTCCTATGTATGTATTTAGTAATTCCTGTGTACGTATTTTATTATTGATTTTTATAACCCAACATAATATCAGAGACCTGCAAGCTAATATGAAAGGTTAAGGAGAATTATGTTGGGTTTGTATGTATGCACGATGTTATTCTCTAAGTAAAATTTCCAAACTCGCACTTTTATTTCTTTTCCCCAGTTTTACTTTAATTCTTTTGGTGAATTGATATTCGAGTTCATTTATAATTTCATATAACATAAGATCAAATAATAGACATGTCCCAAATAACATTGTATATATATTTTTCTGTCAAATAAAAGAATTTGTTTAAGGTTATGTAATATATTTGAAGAAATGTTCCATATTGTAGACCATGTTGTAGACCTCATAGATGAAGATTAAGAAATTGTTTGCTTTACCCGAGGTAGCACTAAAGGAAATTAAATGTGCAAAAGGATATGAGCAGTAAACAAACAGAAGAAAATGAAGTTTCCCCTGTACAACCTGACCTCACCACCTTTCATGGTTAGCATATATACTATAAATACTACATATATTTATTATAAATATCTAAATGCAAACACACACACACACGCATTTATTATATATATATGCATATATGTATATATAATGTATTGATAATATGTATGATGTATACATACATTCATAGTATGTGTGTATATTAAACACATGCACACATGACAACCACACTCAGACATACATATATTTATATTTTTATGGCTATATCTTAAACCCTCTCAATACCTTGCTCTTTGTTGTCGTGGGAGGGCTTAGGAGACGAAGACAGGCTCAAGGTAGGGGATCACCCCTACCTTGGGCCTCAGCCCTTGCCTCAACTAATTTTGCTTGGTCCTTTCTTCTCCTATTTCCTCTTCCATATCTTCTTTATTCCCTTCCTCTATCCCATTCCTAAGTTGTGAGAGCTGTGCTGAAAGGATGAATGGCCTCTAGGAGCCATTGGCACAGTATTCCCTTGGTTAATTGCCTAGCTCTTACCTGAGGGTTAACCCGTTTCTTTTCCCCATTTTATTCAGGCTCACCATGGCCAATAACAAAGATTCTCTACCCTTAATAGGGGCATTAAGGCTTGCCCCTTCATCAGCTAGCCTACTTGAATTTGATTTTGATGGTTCTGCAACCCCTGCCCCTCCTTTGACCACGGCTCTGACCATTGATACTAATACTCCTTCTTCAACACTTAATGAACTAAGCATTCCAAAACACCCACCCAGGTTATTACTTAACCTCTAGAAAGCACCCATTCCAAACATTCTCCTTTTCATCTGCTGCACAGTCCTCTTCTATGTCTACCCCCTCTTCCCTTATTATAACTCTCCATCTTTGTCCCCCCCACACTTCCTCTCACCCTCGGCCTTCTACTGCTCTTTGGACCAGGCAAGTGGGACTGATTCTTTGTGATTCCCCCTACAGCCCCCTATTCTGAGAATAGGGGGCTGTTTTCCTTGAACAACGTCCCTATTCCTTCCCCAGTCACAGATACAATGCAATTCACTCAATGGCCTTACCATTAAACCTTTCCCACTTTAGTAATCCCTGCTCTACATTTTCTTTACACCCTCTAATACTTGACATCAAACACCTTCTCCTCTCCCTGGATATTCTCCTACTTTTCCAACAGCCATCTATTTCTTCTTGAACAAGTTTCCCTATACCTTCCCCAGTGACAGATAAAACTGTATTTCACTCTAGTAGAGTCTTTCTACTAATCTCTAGTTTACTTAATCCCCTCTTTTCCCTTTTCACTACCATACTATCATATAACGCTCTTAAATCTTTGACATCTAACACATTTTATCCCATCTTATCTTTGCCCTTTCCGACACAATACTTTATCATAGTGCTAAATGACCTTTGATGTCTAGCACATTTATTTGTTTCAAACATTAATCATTAATAACATATATCTTAAACCATACCTGTACATTATAATTATAGAGATATCCCTCTGAAATCAATACTTCATTATATGCCTAATACACAATGAAATTTCTAACCTGACGTTTCAGCAGCTACAATTCTTAAACTAGTATTGTGGACTTAATATGCTGTGGGGAGGAAAAAATACACCATTACTTATATATTTTATAATGGAAAACTTAACAATTTATCCATAATAAAAATATAAATCTTGAGGCATGCATGATATTTATATAATGGGTGAAGGTCTAATGCAGGCCTAACATGTGCCTTGTAAACATTAGGCATGTGAATATCAATCTCTATATGGTTTCTACACTGCATTCTCACACATCACTGTATCATATTTCTCCGAGATTCTTTTGCTACACTGCTTCTTGTATGTACTGCCAAGCTGAATGTTAAGAGAGCTTTTATTGCAAATCTCCTTTACATGTGCTCTCATGTGTATCACTCTGAAATTATACTGAGAAAGCCTTGTTGCAAATCTTAGTTCTATGGCTTCTCCTTTGTATGAACACTCTTGTGCGTTACTAAATTACTTTTCTGTGAAAAGGCTCCATACAAATACAGCTGTAATGGTTTCTCATGTGCCTCACTAGGGCATCCTTTCTAGCAAAACCTTTGTTGCGAATTTCACAGATGTATGGCTTCTCCTTTGTGTGTACCCTCAGTTGAACTTTCATATGTGCCTTATTGTGGAATGTCATCCCACAGACTTCACATAAAAAACGCTTCAATTTACTATCCACGTTTCTTTGTGTTTCCTTTTTATGCATTTCCTTACGCTTTGCTTGAGTCTCTTCTGATGTGCATTTTTTCCCACACTCCTCGGCCACAAATGATGCTTTAGACAAGGTGTTGCAATCCTCAATAATATCACGCGAGTCTTTTTCATTTGCTTCGTATCTAAGGTCTTTAAGATCCTTAAAGACAAGAAAATCATTTTTCACTTTCACTTCACTCACTTCATAATTTGCTTCATCTGTATAATCAAATGGTTCTTCCTTCACTTCTGTGACATCTAAGCTGAGTTCTTCTTTGATACTGACTCCTGTGCCAAGTATTTGTTCGTCCATGAGTGGGGCCAAAGGAATCTGGTCGGGGAGAATACTCATTGTTGCCCTGCGAATGGAAAACAAATGCATAACATGGCAAATGGTTAAAATACAAAATTGAAGACATAATTAGATATTCAATAAATAAATACTTTTACAAGCAATAATACCAACACTGGTGACCAAGGAAAGGAAATATCATTTTACTGTGATTAAAAAATTACTTATAACAAAGAAACAATAGAAATCAGTGATGAAAATACTGATGAAATTGGAATATAATTCATGTCTAATAAAATTGACCCCAATGAAAAAAACAATCCGATATACACATATGTATATCAGTGTTTATAAATCTGTATTTATAAACACATATATTTATCTATATTTATCTTTCTCTCTCTCTCTCTCTCCTCTCTCTCCTTCCCTCTCCCTCTCTTCTTCCCTCTCCCTCCCTCTCTCTCACAGATGCAGGACATGGAAGTGGAGTCTGCATATATGTAAGGGATACCCTTAAATCAAATAAGATCTCTACAGTTGTAAATGATACAGCAGTAGAGGACATCTGGGTAACCGTACAAAGTAATATGCACCCTTCCATCCTAGTCGGCACAATCTATAGACACCCACATGCTACAGCAGAATCTTTTGAGTATCTTGAAAATATTTTCAGAGAAATGTCATTAAAAAGAAAACCCCTATTCATCCTAGGTGACTTAAATGACGATCTAGACAAATCAAATGCAAAGCTAACTGGATAATTAATAAGAATAAATTTAAACAACTTGTAAACAAGCCTACAAGGATTACAGTAACTACCTCTTCTATATTAGATGTCATAATAACAAACAGACCCGATATTATTCTTCACACAGATGTTATCCCATGCCCAATTGCAGATCACAAGCTTTTAACCTTGATCTTAATTATAGAAAAACCAAAGCGACAACCATTCACCAAAACTTCTCGTGTTCTAACTCATTACGATCCTAAATTACTATGCGAACATATAGCTAACGAATCATCGCTATTAGATATTTTAGCAACAGATAATGTTGACAGACAAATTACCACTTTAACAGAAGTGATAAAGAACAGCATAAACACCTCTGCACCCATTAAAACTAAAACAGTAAAACGTCCTCCCGCCCCCTGGATAGATGACATCAAGAGAGCCATAAATGATAGAAATAATATTCAGAAAGCTTTCAAGATAAACAGATCTGACACCACCCTTCAGGCTGAATATAAACACAAGAAAAGGAATGTGAAAACACTTATTCATAGTGCGAAAACAAATTATTTCAAAAGTAAGACAAATGAATGCAGAAAGATTCTGCCGAAACGTGTAAACTGGTTAAGACACTAGTGCCAAATAAGAAACAAAACACAGACATTTCCAAAAATTCCATAAATGATATAGAACACTTTAATAACTTCTTTGTAGAAGTCAGTAGGCTCACTTACGAACAGACAACCGCCTCCACACATCTACGCAACATAAATGAAACAAGGCCTAAAACAAACTTTTTCAGACCGCAACAAGTAGGAGTAGAAACAATTATATTAACAGTAAAACACTTACGAAAAACAAATTCTGTAGCAGCTGATGGCATTGCACAGCATTTCATAAATGATAGTCTACCAGCAATTGCATACTATCTGACAGTCATCTTTAATACATCCATAGTCACCGGTATCTATCCATTACTGTGGAAACATGGTATCATACCACCTATTTTCAAATCCGGTGATACAGACAAAATAAATAATTATCGACCCATCACAATACTGCTGGTAATATCTAAAGTACTTGAGAAAATAGTCGCGAACCAGTTAACAGCATTTTTGAAAGAGAATAACCTTATATCAAACACGCAAAACGGGTTTAGAAGTAAATTATCAGCCGAAACAGCGTTACTAAAAATCACAAATGAAATTTATAACAACACAGACAACAACCAGATAAATCTGCTCACTTTGTGTGACTTATCGAAGGCCTTTGACAGCGTCAGCCACGAAATACTTCTGAACAAACTAACAAATCACGGAATTAATAACTTTGGGTTTAAAGATTACTTGTCTGCGAGAACTCAATCGGTCAAAATTCATGAAAAAGTATCATCAAAGAAACAAGTTTCGTTCAGTGTTCCACAAGGCTCCATCCTAGGCCCAATCTTATTCACTATTTTCGTCAATGATCTGTCATCAACTGCAACTGTCTTCTTATTCAGTACGTTGATGACTCTCAATTTCTTCACGCTGCCTCTGTTAACAATTTAAACGAGTTGATAGGAAAAGCTAAACAAACCCTAACAGAAGCAAAACAATACTTTGAAATAAATGGTCTGAAGCTAAATCCACAGAAAACACAATGTATTTTCATAGGCAGCTGTCAGAACATTGCAAAAATACCCAGATACAATTATAGAATTCCAGGGCTGCTACATCAAACCCAGCACAACAGTAAAAAATCTAGGAGTTTACATAGACAGATACATGACATTTGAAACACACATTGACCACATCTACAGGAAAGTAATGAGCACTCTGATATACTTAAATCACATCAAAAATAAAATACCCAAAGAAACAAGAATTATTGTTATACAAACACTAGCACTTAGTATAATCAATTCCTGCCTATACATCTAAGGCTCCACAAATAAAACAAATACAAAGGACACAGAAATTACAGAACTTTGCAGCAAGAGTAGCACTAGGAAATATAAATAAATATGACCACATCACACCACATAACACACTAAAATGGCTAAAAGTGCAACAGAAATACAACTATGACACATGCATTCTAATCCATAAAATTATACAGGGAATTTACCCAAATTGGCTATTACCTATACGGACAACAGGTAACACAACGGGTGTCCAAACAAGGCAAAACAACTGCTTATATATTAAGAGATCAAATACAGAAACCGGGGCAAGAAATATGCAAATCCGAGGACTGGTGACGGAACCAATTACCCAAAAATATAAAAATATTTCCAACCAAAAGACATTTAAAACAAAAGTGAAAGAACATCTACTGAAATATCAATGACATCAGGCGCATAAACATCAAGCCCTGCACGGTATTTCAATCATATATGCTATTATTATGTGTGATTTTGTTCCACAAGCATTGTATAATATCTATGTTCATAACACCCTATCGCATTGTGTAAATATCTATG